TAGATTCGCAATCCCTCCTAATCCCCGGCTTAGAACGATCCCTACTTACATCTTTACTACAACTATCAATAAGAGGGTTTAATTTGAGTGCTAGTTTATATCACATCAGGAATTAGGAGGGAACAAAACACACGAATGAGATTTATCTATTTATTTTTATTTTACTTTTACCTTAAACAGTTGGATAGTATTTTTTCAATAATTAATTTATGTTTTATCTTATATAGTTGGACATAGTTTTTTCATCTCTCCTTTTAAAAAAGAGAGGTGTTTTTTTAACATCACCCTCCTGATTTTTTATTATCAAGTTGAATAAATCAAATAAAAACAATGATTAGAAATAAACAAGAGCATCTGAAATACTAAAAAAAAAAAATTGTAATTATCATTTCTCTTAAATATTCATTACAGTTCAATCATAAACCCCCTCTTTAATTTCATACAAACAAACAAAGGACGTGTCTTTTTTATAGGTAAGAGTGAAATAAACAGCTGTTGAGTATCTTAATCTAGTTGATATTCTACTATAACTAAGGTTGAAGATTTGGTTGAGGTTAGGTATTAACAAGATGTGACACCATAAAGATAAGCTTCATCATCATAACCTCATGGTAACCATGTCCACGAGTAGTTAATTAATTATAAACAAAATCATGCCGTACCACTTGTAGGTCCCCAATCCTAAAAGTCATCACCGGAGCAATTCCCTACCGATCTTAGGGTTCAACTAATCCTGACCGTTAGGGTAAGATCTTGTGGTCAAGAATCAAGTGCCAAATTTTCTTTACTTTTTCCCTGCCCCTTTTCCCTGACGGATCGCCTCTCGCCAGAATCACAGTCCCTAGCCAAAAAAACCTGGTTGCTTAAGGCTTCAAACACCTAGTCATTAAGACCCTCCCCTACACGCCTCTTGACATCTTGCGAAGTCTTTTTGCTTTACGCTTTGTGGATGCAAATATTGTTTTGATAAATGATATCCACATGGGTTTTGTTGTTTGCTAGGTAGTACGCTCCCAAGTACACGGTTTCATTGATTGCATATGTGAGTTGAGGAGCTCTTCCTCACAGCACATCGTTGGACACTAAGAATTGACCAAGGACATTGAGGCATTTTGAGCTCCTAGAACATTGGAAAAAAAAAGCATGCTAAGTCTATGTATCATATATGCCATAGTCCAAAATAATATTTTTGGTTTCTTTTCTATCTCCATAATCTACTTGCCACGAACTTCAGACTATTTTTCCACTATCAGTGCATACAGTCGATGCTTCCAATCATGTCCCTTCTTCATAAGCCTTTGCAAGTCCGTGGTCGTGGGTTGCCGGAGGTACTCATTGGTGTAGATAGCTTTGATTGCAAAACCTCATCAGGAACTCTAGAACTGCTGATTTTCTCATCCTCACTATCTCATCCACTTGGTTTGTAGATGTCCCATATGCAAGCATCTGAAGGGTAACGTAAGTTTTTGCTCAGGTAGGAGACCCTTGACAAGAAAAACATCATTCTTTTACACAAAGTATGAATCATGGTTGCAAATAGCAATCATGATTTTGTTGAAAAAATGCAGTTGCATTCTAAAATGACGTCTAACATACGTATCAAGGTAGACACTATTTGGGACATAGTAATGTTCCAAGACATTCTTACCTCGTTATTCCCTTTTACTATTGAGGTTCATGGAATGACTGGGTCTGGAGATTACAGCCCCAACTTGCATGGCACGACGAGTATATGCGGCTCTCTTCCTTCTTGCTTCATCATGTCATCTTCTACATTCTTCATCGTGTTGCTCTTCCATTTCATACAACTCATTTTTTTGCTGCTATAGATCGAACAATTCATTTTTTTTTCCTCTTTGACTTCTATTAATCTTGTCACATCCCAGCCTGGGCCCCTACCACATCCTTAGGCCAACTCCACCGTAGCATGATATTGTCCGTTATGGACCCCTACCACACCTTTACGGTTTTGTTTCTGGAAACTTACACGAGAACTTCCCAATGGGTCACCCATCCTAGGATGGCTCTCGCGCGAACTCGCTTAACTTCGAAGTTCCTACGGAACCCGAAGCCAGTGAGCTCCCAAAAGGCCTCGTGCTAGGTAAAGATGAGAATATATATAAGGCTTACAAGATCCACTCCCCTGGGCAAAGTGAGATGTTACAAATGTCCTTGAAGAAGACATTGTAAGAACCTAAGATAAGAAGGATTCAAACATATTTTGATTTTGGTGTGTGAGTTTAGGTTGCATGTAGAGTTTATAAGGAGAAAACAAAATGATGAGGTTGTAAATAATGCCACGTGGCACGTCGTAATTGGTTGAAAATCTTATCGAACATCTATGCACAAGGATTCTGAACAGATAGTGATACTTGGTGCAATAGGATTGGTTAAAAAACTTATCGGAAATCTATCCACACAATTCTTACAGGATCAGGACATATGACACTATTGAATTGGTTAAAAATCTATACCCAAAAACTATAGTTTCGAATAATAAACATAAAATATTATTTCATAAAAAATAATTTTTTAATACCAATTATCTGGATAATTCATTTAGGGGTGGTCCGAGTGGGGTTATTACTATTTACTACTAAGACTATCTTCAACCCTTGAGTTAAAACCTAAAATTCTTAACCCTAAAATAGTTTTTCTTCTTCAATGGTTTCGGGTTAAAATTTTAGTTCGAGATTATTAAATAATGAATTTAGGCTACATTTTTTTTCGGTGACTTTTTTTTTATAATAAAATTTACGTAGATTATCATAATTTATTTTTTTATGAACATTTCAACCTAAAACTATTTAGATTCCAATAAAAATTGAAAATTCACTAAACCAATACCATGAAACATGTATTTATAGAGTTTTTGGGTGACTTTTGATTTAAAGTTTTTTTTCAATTGTTTTAGCCTTTAGATTTAATTTTGGGCTGTTAATATTTTTTTTTTTTAACAGTTAGATAGATCATAATTGATCTCTGCCATTTGATTTAATGTATTTAAAAATTTAAATTTAAATTTAAATATGTTTGAATCTGGATCGTTGGATCAACCAACTGTCCAATTATTAAAATTGTCAGATCAAAGAAGAGTCGTTCAGCTCATTTTGGGTGGCCGACATTCTCATCAAGGGCTGGCCCCACTTCATGTTAGCATTCGCGCGCATAAGATGAGCCAGCCTTTTAACCTTGGCTTGAATTCTGGATTAAATTTGCCCTATCTCATGGTGTGGCTCGCTTACAGGGCTAATTAAATTTGGAAGATAATGTCACGTGTAGACCATAATTAGATTGGATAAAGCTAAGGAAGCATGCATTAAAAAGGATGGGGTTGCAGGACCACCTTAAGATCAAGAAATTTTTCATTGTGCTCAAAATGCAAGTGGTACATCACATGTTATTATATAAGTTGTGGAAAGTTTAATTTTTTATGTTGTTAATTTTTTAACAAAAGTATTTTACCATTCGTATACTGATATGTGATATAACATATCGTGTTCGTAGCACACTGAAACATCTCTCCATGGAACCACCTCCAAAATTAGCAAAATCTCCTGCGCTGGATTCTCTGCGTATGGATAGCCGTCAATATACTTGGAATGACGATAATGCCCTCTACCTCGTTGCTTGCAAAAGTGCATGCAGTAAAAAATTGGGCAAGGTAACAGGCGAGGAGGGTGGGAATTGAGGAAGATCGCGGCCCGTCAAATTAAGTGTGCCTCGTGAATGATTTGTTTTTTTAAGAAATTTTAACGAAAAATTATATTTTTACATTAAAAAATTAATTTTGGTATTATTCATTTTACTCTTTATTTTATCCTTATCGTTAAAATTCAAAGTTTTCAAATATTTTTCATTAATTTTTCTTTTTTTTTATCCGAAACATTGTCTAGTATTAATATATGAAGACAAAGAAATTCTTTATAATATTTACTTATATTATAACACATATGAATGATGGACACGTTTATGAATATCAACGTAATAGTTTAATTATTAATTATTGTGTAATTTAATTTATGATAATTGTTATTAGTATTTCAAAATTTTTATTTTACACTTTAAACTTTCTATATTATGAAAGAAAAATACATTTATAAAAAGCGTAGAATAAGATTTTTGAAATACCAATAACACTTTCCTAATTTATAAAATTTTATATTTAAATTTAATATCTCTAAAATTATCCTAACTCATATATAAATCAGCTCGAGTGCCAAATGCAGTATAAAATGGAGGCATAAAATCATTCATTTCTTGAATTTGGAAAACGTAGGTGAAGTAGCTAGATACACTCTACAGATTCCTACTTCAAACTATGGCGCGTGATTCCCTTTTTTCCCTCGTTCTCTCTTTTTGTTTCCATCCTTACGAATTAATACACAACTTTATAAATTTATATATACTTGTTTGCCTATCAATTTTTCCTTTTTAATGTTATAGCCAACATAAATTAATTTAGACTGAAACCCTTTGTCATTTTATCTTTTTAGCATATTATTTTATAATATTAATACGAAAATTATGCCAAATAGATGAGATGGTAGAGAGTTCCATTTTAAAAAAAAAATCTTAATAACATTGATATCATATAGTAGCATACCAAAATTATTAGTTGTATCTGTTACAAATTTTGTTAAATTAATTGAAAAATCTTTTCAAGAATCCATGTCATCAATAATAAATTTCAACCAGAAACAAATAAAACCTCGACTCACAGTACAATCAACTACAAACTTAAAATCACTTTCAAACACAACCCTTCATTTATTTTGGCAAACCAAACACATGCATGGTGTTTAAATTAAATTTCTTGTGGTAAAAACATATTGAAGTTTCGACCTTGATTTTTTTTTTTCTTTTTTTTTTTTCCGAAAAAAAATTATGGGAAAAGGCGGGCAGCGTGGAGCGCACGTGCATGAAAGCTGCGTCAGCATCAAACCTCCTCTACGTATCTTCCAAAGTGCTGTGGTTTGGCCAACATAATAAATGAAGAAACAAAAAACCAGTAGCCACCAATTACTCCAAACACAAACCAACACCAACACCAACCCACAGAGAGACGAAACAAAGCAAATAGATTCAAGGTTTTCAGTCAGTTTTTAGGAGGGAAACTCCCAAAACCCATTGATTCTTCTACCCAAAGACCAAAATTCATTCCCTTCAAGCATTTGTGGAGAGAGAAAAAGAAAGAAAAACCAGAGAGAGAAACCAGAGAGAGAGAGAGAGAGAGAATGTTTGCAGCAGAAAATGGACTGAAAGGAGACCCAAGGCTCCAAGCCATATCAGAGGCCATCAGGGTTGTGCCTCACTTTCCAAAACCAGGTTCCATTTTTTGCTTTTCTTGTTTTGTTGGTAATTTTAATTTTAATTTTTTTTTAAGTAGAATTGTCAGTGTTTTTGTGAAGTTTTATGATTTGTGTGGGTATTTGTTTAGTATTTTAATGTTTGTTTGTGTGTTGGGTATGTATGAATGTGTTCAGGAATAATGTTTCAAGACATAACAACATTGTTGCTTGATCACAAGACCTTCAAGCATGTTGTCGACATTTTTGTTGATCGCTACAGAGACATGGACATCTCTGTTGTTGCCGGTACTCTCTCTCTCTCTCTCTCTCTCTCTCTCTCTAGATATATATATATATATATATGTGTGTGTGTGTGTGTGTGTGTGTGTGTTTATATACAATCTTTTGAAGTAATTTTTAAGGTTTGTTAATGTTGTGGATATTAAAATGTGGGCTTAATTAGTTAATATATGAGTTGCCGTTTGGTACTTGGGTTTTACTGTTTTGTTCCCCCTTTGATTGTTTTGAGAAATATTTTTCTGGAGCTGCAATCCTTGCTGATTTCGTTGAAGATTTTTCACATCTGGCAAGTCTTTTCTTTTTTCTTTTGGTATCATCATACATCATTCATCTTAGTCAAATTACGATTTTCTAATTTGGCCCCTTTTTTTAATGTGTAATAGTTTTCCCAATGTATTTCCCTCAGTAGTTATATCTATGGCTAATGCAATGGGATCACAAGTTCAAAACAGAGCAGATTACTTCATTTTTCTTTACAATTCGGTGCATAACAGAAGTTCACGAAAAAAAAACTCAATTTTGTGTCGTGTTACGTTTCAATAATAAGCGATTTGCGTTCTTCTACACTGCTGCATTTTTCTGGTTGCTTGGACGCATAGAAGATTTGTTGACCACTTCGCAAACATTTTTGTAGTTGCATTCTTTCTGATGTTCAGGATTTTTTTTTTCATTGGTTTGAGATTCTGCTTTTTTTTTTTTCGTCTATTTCGATCCATAAACTATTAACCACAAATGTATCCTAAAACAATTGAGAAATTTCTGTTGCTGGTGATTGTGTGACCATCCTGTTGATTACCAAAAGGGGGTCAAATTAGAAAATCATCATTTCGGTTTGATTAATGCTGCATTTCCGACATTTGTACCACCTCTCAAATAGAGATAGGTCCCACCTGTATTGGAGAGGCGGTACTAATGTTGTATGAAAAATATGGTAAGAGTAGCATTTTTGTATCGGTTATTACTGCCAGAGTAAGTTTCCTGAGTTAAAGGTAGAGTACTAATTTCTCACATAGATATCTTTTTGCTCCTTGAGACCTTGCATTCTTGTCAGCGCTTTACGTAAGTGAAGAAAGCTAGCTATTGATGTAGATGGTTAACTCCGAGTGGAAGTTTTTCAACATTTTGCTTCCCTCATGACAGATGAACAGGCATTGCTAAAAAAAGGTGTTTTGAATGTGGGACTGTCTCAATTGTTGGCCTTAATCATTCACTGTTCTTTTCAAGCTGGTGATATAGTTTACCAAATAGTGGCATGATAACGACAACCCTGATTAGAAATTTTATTATATAATTAAACTCTTTTTCGTGATTTGCTTTTCATAATTCTTCTGTTTATGATTAATCTGCAGGAGTGGAAGCCAGAGGGTTCATGTTTGGCCCTTCAATTGCTTTAGCAATTGGTGCCAAGTTTGTCCCTTTACGTAAACCTAGAAAGTTGCCGGGTATGCTTACTTTTAATTAGCTTAATGCTCAGTTTGTTGATGTGAAGGAGCTAATTACTTTTTTAATCATGCCTCAGTCCTCCTTAGTCAACTTTTGAAGTAGTTATATAAAGTGGGTGTCCTTTGAGCCTATGAAAGGTCTATTAGATTAGATTAGGCTGTTGTTTTCCCCCATGTGCTTTTATCTATTGTTAGTGCTTAGTTTCATTTAGGATAAGGCCTTTTTTACTAGGGTGGCATTCCCGTTGGCTATTTTTCTTCCCTATCACAGTATACAACCAGTGTCTATCTCTCTCATCCTGTGATATACAACCGATTTTAGGCAAAATTTACTCCAACATTGGGATGTTTGCGAGTGAGGTCTTGGTTGTCACTGAAGCGTCTATTTTGTACCTTGCATTTTTCATGTTCCCCATACGCTAAACTTCACTTAACAATGCTGCTTATTTAGGAGAAGTAATTTCAGAAGCGTATGAGCTTGAGTACGGAACTGATTGCCTGGAAATGCACGTTGGTGCTGTTCAGCCCGGCGAACGTGCATTGGTAATTGATGATCTAATAGCTACCGGTGGGACCTTGTCAGCAGCAATAAGACTTTTAGGTGAGTGGTTGCTCTTGAGGCCTTTGATATTTCTTGTTCATCTTCTCCCTTAAACTGCTTGTTTACCCTACTTGAAATTTACATCACCCCAAAACAAATTTCTGTGCTTCTAGAACGTGTCGGGGCTGAAGTGGTAGAATGTGGATGCGTTATTGGGTTGCCTGAGGTTAAGGTAATGTTTCAGATTTTATTAACTTAAAAATTGCGCTAAACTACGATCCTAGTCCTTGCAATTTGGCCGAAGTTCCACTTTAGTACCTCTAGTTTCAATTTTCACGGTTGTAGGCCTGTCAATGGTAACTACTGCAGTTTTTCGACAAGTGACCTACGCGAGTGGCGAATGTTGAGGTAGATTATTGTCCTTGAGTTGCAACCATTGATAAATAGGGGACTAAAATTGCAAAAGACAAAACTACAGGTACCAAACTCTTGGGACCAACATCATAACTTGACCTAAAAATTCAGGGTAGTTCAAATTAGAAAGCATCGTTGTGTATTGAGTGCATGCCACTCATAAGTCTTTTGATATCTCAAGTGCTGTGCAGTTGAGCTGCTCTTGATGAATGATGATTGTGACATTCCAGGGACAGTGCAGGCTTAATGGAAAGCCACTCTACATCCTTGTGGAGCCACGCGAGTTAGATAACGAGGTAGTACTAGTACTTCCACATTTCTCCTTAATTTCAATTCAAATTTCGTTGTCTGTTTTCCCTTATGTGGCATATAATGAATCTTGCCCTCGATTGCGATCAGTATGCCTTTTCACGTGGGAAATTTGACCGTACGAACATTGTCTTATCTGTTCAGACATTATTCGCTAGGTCATCAAGTGTGCTTGTCTCCTACAAGTTCTCCAAGTTAGTTTAATTTGTTTTCATTCATGCAGATCTGTTCGAGTTCTGCTTGGGCTGACCGCAGAAACAATGGCGCTTCACTCGAGCAAATGGCCGTGAATGTTTAGAGCGACTGAGTTCCGGTGCTCAATGCTCATCATTCCCTCGTCTGCGTCTCGTGTAGATTGCTATGTAACATTAGCCATTTCGAACAAAATGCATGGACGAATGTTATTTTCGAGAGATCGATTTATTCTTAAAACAGGAAACCTTCATCGCCGCATTATGGCAAATTATTCAATTTAAAATCTCTGATGCTCATTGCTTTTGCTAAGCAAAGAGGCTCTAAAAGAACAGCCAAAGAAGCTAAACATGGACCTCAACTGATGCGTGCCATCGCTATTCACGATTCCCCCTTGAAAAACCTTCCGCACTCACTCTCACGCATGAGAGTGAGTGCGGGAAGTGATCTTTGGAGCGACGAAATCATCCCCCTTGTTCCTTCAGCATGTCGTGAATACCTAAAGTTGGATATTTTAACAAATCGATGAAGAATTTACATCACAACCTAGAATGTCGATTTATAACCAAGGAAAATGAAAGAAAAGCTGCAACAACAATTGCAAAAGGCAGCAATACCAAAAGACAAGCAGCAAAATCGTAGAGTCAATGTTTTATGGTGAAACTCCCCGCAGGCTGGCATCCGAAAAGCTTGAGGTACAATAACCATGGCAACATCATGATTCGCTTACACGCGCATACAACGGAAAAGAGCAGAGCCACTTTCAAATTTATAAGCCAAAACAAAAGAGAAACATGTTTTTCACTAATAATTTCCTTTCATCTCTACAACATTGTGGTAAAGCAGAGAGTGCACAAACTTTCTTGAGACTTGTATATGTGTAACCACAAGCTTGAAGCGTCATGCGTAACGAGAAATACATGAAACAACAGATGGTGCGAGTGGCCAAATTATTCTTCTTTTTTTCTTTTAAGGGAAAAAATACAAAAAACAAAATCTACAATGTTCATCCTTGCATTTTCCTACTTACCCATCATTGAAGGTTGTCTTCAGGGACCTCATCTTTCGTAGATTGGATATCCATTTTGCGAGCACGACATATGAGACAGTTCACCTGCTTCCGTAATCTAGCATTTTCAGAAAAAAATTCTGCCAGAAACTTCCTCAACTCAATGTCTATTGTCCTCGTATCATCATCGAGGTTGTCAACTTCACCAGTAGCTCCATTGTCTTCAGCTAAGAGTTGTGCCTAATCAATTATTGCAAAGTTACTTCAGATGGTTTACGAGAATGGGAACAATGTGTATGCCAAAAATCAGTATGCTTTAAAGTTACTTCAAACTCAAATGGAATTGCACCACCTCAAATATAGTCATTCAGGAAAAGTAGAATTTAAAGGTTAATAAATGGTGCCATCCATACGTAAAAAAATGTTTCCAACTGATCGTGGAAGCAAGAAACATATGATCGTGCAGCATATTATGTTTCTCGCACAAACAAGTTTAATTTTAATTTCTTGAAGATGGGCCAAAATGTGGAAGGGTTGAATAATGTGACCATATGCCAGAAAATAAAAATCGGCAAACAAAAGAAACTGGGAAATAAATAGAAAGTACCTCTGAAAGTAAGAGGCTAATACGGTTGTCTGAAGTAGCCAACAAATCTGAAGACTCTGGTAGAATTGAAGAATCATCAACAGGAAAATTGATATTGCATTCTTGAAGCTGCTTATGAAGAACTTTGCATTCATGCAACCATTTTTTCCTAGCACTTTCTGCAAGCTTACTCATTTGTTTTTCCGGTTGGTGGAGCTTCTGAAAAATAGAAAAATAAAAGAAAACAAGAAAAACATCAAACCTAACTAATACATTACTCTCTGCCTAGTCAGCTACATAGCAATTAAATTTTTTATTTTTTTCTGAAAGCAAGATGATAATGTGCCAAATTGTTCTATCAACGCATCGGTATTTGGACCAAAACATAAAGCTTCCAGTGTATTGCGGAATATAAGTGAAGTTATAATCAAATACAAGGAAACCAATTATCTGGATCAATAACAGAAAGCAGAATCAATTTAACCCAACACCCTAAGAAGAACTAGTTTGAGAAAGTAGAATGCAACAATACTTTTGGACTAGTGACAAAATACCTCAGCTTCAGATTTCTCCGTCAGCGATTTATTAAGTTCATGTTTCAGTCCTGCTTGAGAACTGCGCAAGGATTTAACTTCTTTAACAAGAACTTTTATATCTGCTTTAGATTTTGCTTCTAGCTCTTCATATCGCTTTGACAAATTCTCAAGCTGCTCCTTGTACGGATCCAACTCCTGCCGCAATATCTCTTTCTCTTGATCAGATGAATCTTTTGTTGACTCTGCACACGACTTCTTATCCTGGCAGCATTTAATATATAGCATATAACCATCCAGATAATAAAAAGGATGGACACACACTGACCCCAACATATGAAAAGACATAAAAGTAGAAAAGACAAACTTCAAGAACAATAACCTGTTCCGACTTCAACTTCAACTCCATTTCCAATGACTTCCGCCGCAGTTCCTCCATATCCCACTGCATTTTAGTACACCTTTCCCTCTCAATTAAAATAGCTTGCTGCAGGTTCTCTTTACTTTTTTGTCTCGTAGTTTCAAGTTCAACTTCCAAATCCTTGACCTGTAGTGATCCAATCAATTAGTCTATGAACTCCCTCTGTGAAACCAAATGGTGTGCCAATTCTTTCAGCCAACAAACTGTAACTGGCTTTTATCAACATCTATAACTTCATAAGTGTCACAGCTATTGCGCTCATCTTTCTTCCACCAAAATCAATTAGATTTACAATGCATAATTCATCCCAATTAATCTTTTCAAACTATTTGAGCAACAAATTTTTTTTTAACAACTTATAACCGGGTTTATGTAAAGTAGTTTTTATCAACAATTTCTTTATGCAACAATCCATAATTAGGTCTATGTAAAACAAGGATAAAAACTAAGTATACAATTCAATTTCGTGAATTTTCTTCATCACTGAGTGGGAAAAACAAATATTTTTGTCAATTAAGCCTCGGAAATGCAACTGCAAGGGTTTGGGCCCTGGAGGTAAGGGTGAAGTAATCTATACATGAAATATGTTTCTGTTCTGGAATATTGACACTGTGTCACTGCCAAATTACTGGTTATTTATTTCGTAGTGAAAAGTTTGGGACAAGAATTTATTGCAAGCTTTCAAGTGGTCTTGGCACGGGACAAACAAAACATTTTCTTCCAGGTTATTTATAATGGCTTATTTCTCCTATTAGACATCCCTAATATTGAAAACGTACTTCTTTGTGTCTTTTAAAAATGTCATGTTAAAAATAATGAAATTAGATACAATCAAATAGCTCTCCAGCCCAAACAAAAATAATTCCAGCAATTGACATCACAAAGAGCATGATTAATTTAATTTGACATACCTTTGTTGCAAGGTAATCTTTTACTGCTATTTCTTGATTTAGTCTAGATATAAGATCTTCCATATCTGTTTTTGCTGTGACTAGTCTTCGCTGCATAGTCAAGAGAACCCTGTTTAATTTGTTTCGCTGATCTAATGGGAGAACTAGTTGAGTGCCACCTGAAGGTTGTAACTCTGTGTTGCCAAGCATTTCCATAATACTTGAAACCTCAATACCTCCGAGAAGGTCAAGAGAACCATCACCAGATGAGTTAGGAACACCAGAGTTGGACATTTCACTACCTCTTAGAGAACTGGCATCACTTCCCACACTTTCATTTGAGAGCTTGCGAGCATGGTTGAATACTTTACTAAGCTCTGGCTCGGAGAAAAGTTCCATTCCATTACAAGCTAGAATTGAAGATTTAGAAGTATTTCCATTATATGTATTTTTCCCTACAACATTATTGACATGTCCCGCATTTACTTTATGCTTAGGAAGGCCTTCCAACTGCTCTAGTATAGTTTGTCCCATAAACAGTCCCTCATCAATATTGGTCATGCCATACTTCACAAGCTTTTCTATTGGGCTTGTTAAATCTTCATCCAATACCAGATCTTCGATACCAATTTCAGAACCATCATCCCTTCCTAGCCTTGGGGTTCCTAGCTCAGAAGTCTCATAAGCAGTATCACTTCCATAATCTGATGTGATTGATGAACTCCCTACAATGGCAGGTAAGGTAGAATAGGAAGGCGATTGAAGTGAACTTGAGTCTGAAGTGTTTTGGCTTGCATCTTGGAATGCTGAGATGTATTATGACAAGGAACTGATACATTAAAACTCTATAAAAGGAATCTGTGTAACACAAAAAAAAAGGGATGTGTCACAGCACTCATGCACAAGACAGTCACGTACAAGATCTAGCTGCAGACTCTAGTTCAAGAAAGGATGCCACTGCAACGCTTCTTGATATATCAATATCCGATAGCAGCTTTGTCATCCAAGCCTCCAACGAACACCTTCTCTGCAACAAAACTGAAACTTCTTAAGAATATTAATCACCCTTTTAGATATGTACGAGTACACACATGTTTGAAGGTTGCAATTGAAAATTACACGTTCCAGTTAAGGGTAATCATCCCCTGTTAAGAATATGAACTACACTAGAGTGAGTTTCTTGTCCTCCATCGCACGACACTTTAAACTGATAAAGTAAATAACGCATTACCTACCTCTTCCAACAGTTCCCGGCTCTTCATTCGCAGAAGTCCCTTGGATGGAGTTGGTGGGAGATTTTTCTTGGGAAATGCCTTTTTAAGCTACAAGTAACAGACAATAAAAAAATATTAAGAATGTCCTTTGATTAGTTTAACAAAGGGAAAAAAAATTCAACAATGTGTTTCCTCAAGCAGTGCTTAGAGAATAACCAAGTTGTTGTTTCATATGAATTACCATGCTAACATAAAGTAAATACCTATTTTACAGACAATCCAAAGTCAGCACTTACATCACTAAATAACTTCAGAAAATCATTAAATCTTCTTAACACCCCACTTGTAGTTGTAATACCTTCCGGTGATTGTACACCAACCTGAACCCTGTAGAACTGTCCCTTAAAATGTTATAATAGAACCCATTCAAAAGACTGGTGGTGAACAAATGCGAAATACAATCAGCTTGAAATAACCAGCGCATGTAGGTAGTATAAATGTTTATTTTACCAAAGGCTATGATCAATCTATTATCTATAGATTAGTTACACAAATTCAACAGAAAAAAGTTGGATTTATCCAAATAGAAATCTCAATCTTGATTGCCATACAGAATATCTATACTATTACTGAATGACATCAAGTTTGTCACAATCATAAATTACCATGTGATTACATTGCTTAGTCTGAAACATTTTAATGTAATATAAGGAAGACTTTCTATGTCCCACAAGAAACAAAAATGCACCTACAAGATCACCATTAACATTCTATTCAACAAATTGACCACAATAGCAACCATGACATTGCAGAACCCTAAAGACCATGACGTTCCAATAACATATTTGATTTACTTGTGGACCGACCAACCAATCGATCGAGCAAGGCAACAACAGGAGATACTGAAAGATTCACAAATGGAAAATTCAACCATGGATATAGATTTCCTAATTGTACTTAGTCCTAAAAGATAATATAAAACAACATCTAACCCTGGGAATAGATAAACACTGGAGAGTCATTCAATTTGAGTACCACTACGGGATCGGAATTTCTTGATTTTGGAAGTGCAACCCACGAAGGTATAGCGACACAATAACTCCATCCTGTGCGAGGATCATGTGGCCAGACTGTGTCCTGTCCATTCTGCAATAAGAACGTCAGCCCTTTGAATTAGACAGATACCCAGTGAGTAACTATGATTGGCAACATATAAAAAGCCACTGTGGCAGGAAAGAACAATGCAACGAGCTTATCCGCATATGGGAACACAAATGTGAATTGTTGATAAGAAAAGGTCAATTTTGTTCTTTTCATTGAAGAGGTTGCGTATCCCAAAATGCATCTTCTTCTTTTGGTAACATGATGATTGAAGAGTAGATCCAGCTTAACTTCCTCTGCAGATTATATTGTTATCATTCCTAGTGGTTATGCGATAATCTTGAGCCAATTGCGAAAAAAAATGATACTCGTAAAATCGTAATTTTAAGTAGAAGTTGCAACTAACAAGAGAATGTGAGTGCACGCTGAAACCGAGCTAAACCCTAGGAAGTGAATGTAACCTCCATAACTGATTAACTGATGGATTATACGAAAATCGTAAACGAACTAATAATAAATACAGACTTAAATTAGAAAGTAATGAGTTTCACTTAGACAATTTCCAAAGTTAGGAACTTGAAATAATTGGAATTGGGAGAGAGCAGAAGCAGACGAACCCATTTTCGAGGAGGAGGACTCCAATCCATCCCAAGCGGCAGCGGCGAAGTCCCATCGTGCCTGTGCTTCGGCGGACTCCGTCTCTGCATTTTCCGATCTTCCTACAATTATCTCTCTCTCTCTCTCTCAAAAACTCTCTATCTCTTTCTCTCTCTAACAATCGAAATCGATCATCGCCCACCTCTCTCAACAAATGGGGAAAGGTGAGACAGAGAGAGCTAGGGTTTGGCTATCGGATCGGGCGAACCAGCCGAGGAGAATTGATGCTCATTTCACCAAACACAACGGAGACGTGGCCTCCGCAAAGCCTCCATTGCTCTGCTTCGTCGTCACTCCAGAAGCGATGGCGCAGTTAGCAGGTGAATGGGCGTTGCCAAGTCTTCTCTCTCTACTTTCTCCGAGTCTGTCGGTATTCGTTTCCACCGATCCCACGCACTCTCCCCTTTTTTTATTTTAATTTTCTTTAATTTTCTTTAATTTTCTTTAATTTTTGGAAAATTAATAATTTTTTAATTGTTTATTGGGTAATATTAAACCAGTCCTACCTAAATTCTGTCTTCCTTTGCAATTGCATTGAGCTTCACGGCGGGGAGCCGGCGACAGAGAAGGCAGCAGGATGCCTATTTTGGACCATTTGCTTCGGCATTAAGGATTGTCATGGGCCTCATGGCCCATAATAAATATTGGCTCGTTTGAATCGTTGCAATTAGAATTTGACGAAATTACGAAATTATGCACGACCTAATAACATAACAAATACACGCATAATAAGTTTTAAACTTATGAATGAGCTTTAATGCTTGTTTCGATAATAGTTGGAGTTGTTAATGATGCGTTTTAGAAGGTTGAAGGCAAGTCGTGTTGTGTTTGGAATTTTCCGTACATTGACTTAATTAACCATGTTCAAATTGATCCAATTTTTACCTAGATGAACACGACACAACATAAAGTTGTGAAAACATCATGCGTTGCAAGGTCTTGCTAAAGCCTACAATATTGTGGAGAAGTTATTTTGATTAAAAATAGATTTTAAACTTGAAACTTCATTAGCGTTAAGAACCAACACGTAAATTTTGTGAATCATTTAAGATTAACACCAGTTTAAATCTTTGGGTTGAAGTTCAGCTCATCAACCCATCCAGCTTGAGTTGATAGTGTTTAGAACCAACCTAATCTAATATATGGTTTAGAGTAATGCTATGAAGATTAAATTTGTAAACAAAATTTTGAAAACTAAAGGACATAAAAGTTGATGATTGATTCATTACTTAAACGTTGATAAACATGTTTATTCCTATTGGTGACACATCATATAGTTTGCAAATTTAGTCTCTCTAGCATTACCCTACAGTTTATTGTTTTTGTTGATTTAGTTAGTTTTATATTGATATGGGCATAGGTTAGTTTGGTATTACTGTGTTTAAATTATTTATTAAAAAAAAAACAAAAAAAAGAAAGCTGATTATACTATGTTATAAGAATAAGTAACTGTAAAATAATGCAGTTATTTTTTAGTAAATTTTTTTGTAAAAGTGTTTTTAATAAAGAAAAAATTAAAAAAAAAAAGTAGTATCTGAGTATTTGGTAAACTTTTATATGAAATTGTTGTATGTTAAATGACTGAAAATGATATGATGGTATAGATAATACAATAAAATTATTATTTATAACTCAACCGTCCTCTCCCTCGTTTCTCCGGCCTTTTTTTTTTTTCTTGTTCTTCTGTCGTCTTCGTGTTCTTCAACTTATCTTCTCTGTCTTCATTTGCCCAAAAAAAAGTAGCATCGTTCTCAATATCTACACCATCCCCACCTGTAACCTAAAAGCTAGCATTTCCAATACCCATTAATTTTTGCACCCAGAATATTAATATTGGGTTTTGGGTATGGTTGCATCGGGGGGAAGGGGCTTAGGTGGGATCGGGAGTTCATGGTGAGGGAGGAAATTAGGTGAAGAGGGTAGGTTGGGGTTCGAAAATGGGTTGGACTCTCGAATCCTTCTCTCCTGCCATTCTCTATCAAAGGTGTGAGAACAGTTCCAAAAGATTTGTTGCCTTATGCGTTACAATATCTTAATTATTTACTTCCTCTTTGAGTGTTTGTCTTGAAATTTTAATTGATGGGTGCAGAATTTGGTAGATTTAAGGGGTGTGGTCAATTTGGATGTCATGGAATTTTAATAGACTTTTTTTAAGTGACAGATTTTAAAGGATTTTAAAAGATTTTCAATTCTATATGGAGTTCGATATATTTATATGAATTTCTATTATAGGTTTCTATGGATTTGTATGGTTTTTTTTCGTGAATTTCTTAGGATTTATTAATTGAATCTTATAACATAAAATGAAATAATGCACAAGAAACATATACCTTTCGAATCAAAGGAGATCAATTAACAATAAAATTGTGCACTGCTGCACAAGCTAATATTATCTTTGCTTGTGTTGCATATGAAAATGGAGGTGCAATCCTTAAAATCGGGAATCATGATTTTAAAATACCAAATATCATTTCGACGACATTTCTTAAAGAAGCATGACGAAGATTGAACAACTCTTTTTCGTTTCTAGGCTCATGACCTGAACCACTATACTCTTGAAGATGTTATCGGATTCCTCGATAAGGAGCTAAAAACTAACGTCTATTTGGAAATCCACAATCTACTATAAAAAATTTACATGATAATATATATTTAGTAGGCAACTCAATGGATTAATGAGAAGTTAAATAATAATAAAAATGATAAATAATAATTTGATACCTTGTGGCACTTTAAGTCCATTCCTTCTTGTCAAAGCATCATTTAGTACTCTTGAATCATGAGCCGGTCCTTCCCACTCACTAAGGACGTACATGAATTCCAAATCAAAGTTACAAGCAGCTAATACATTTTGTTATATGACACCATTACGGTTACGATAACTGCTTACATCGCATTCGGACACTGATGTTGGGATATGTGTGTCATCAATAGCTCCAATACAATCCTAAAAGAGTGTTAAGTTTATCATTTGAAATAAATTAGAATGATACAAAATAAAAAATAAAAAAAAAGACACCATGCGTACCTTCAAGTAAAGGTAAAATCTCGTACTTTCCCTTATTTTAGGTGGCACTGCTAATCCATGTTTGGCCATCATCTCCTGTTCTATTGTGTTCAAGGCCTTCAAAACTTTGTTAAAATTTCTACTGACAGTCCAATGTGATCGGCCAAACGTATCACGTAGTAGACAATATCTACTATTGTGTCCAACAATAAGCAAAAATGTTGCAAGCATTTCTTCTATGCAAATGAATCTTGTATCTCATAAGAGTGTTTTTTCCCTAATAATAGTGCATAACTTCACAAACACATCAGGATACATTCACTAACACATCAGTGTCTTTTCAATAGGTTGTCCAAATGTAATTATAAACTCTTTTAACACGTGGACTACAACTTGAATTGCCATCAATGAATATTTAATGGTTTCATAAAGTTCTTCTTCCTCAATTTCTTCTTCATCAGTTTCTTCTTCTTCTTCAATATGTTCTTCCACCATTTGCTCCACTTCCATTTCTTCATCCACTTCGTCCACTTCTATTTCTTCCCCACCTTCCGTTTCCGTGCTTGTTTGAGACATTACATAAACTACCCAATCAAATAAACAAAACCATAAACAAGTTAACAAACAAAAAACCATATATATAATATCAACTATAATAGAAATAAAGAAATATAGATAACGTCAAAGACACAAAAAAAAAAATTAAGAACAGTAAGAAACCTCACCAGCCAACCATAAATACAGTAAGCCCTAGTAATTCTTCTTTCCCATTATCCTTACCATCTAAAAATACACACCACAATTAAACCAATTATCAATTTTTAACAGCTAAAAACACGTCATTTTGTATTCATGAAAAAATGCTAATCATAATAACCAAATTCATAAAACACCAAAGACCAATTCAACCATGAATTATCATATCGAAAACATGATCTAATTTGGTAGCAAATAATGCAGAAACTCAATACCACCGCTCAAGGCCTGCGAGCTATTTCAGGCAAACCAATTCAACCATGACCATTATTATATCTTGAATTTTCTCGGCAACCAAACATAAAGCGAAGAATAATCCTAGAAGATCATACTGTTAAACAAGAAACCAAGTCAACATGAAAGTCCTATTCAATTACTTAACAGCTTTGCACTTAAATGTAATTATAGATAATTCAGTTTAGATATGCATCACTTTGTCTAGGACTCATCCTTTGAAATCTACATATACCGTGAGTATCAGTGAAGAAAGAAAGTCTTCCACCAATTCTCATTTTGATAACATTGTTCCTTTATCTCTGCACTACATTTTCTACACAAACATTCAAGGGGGGAGGGTTGGAAATTTCTGCTTTATTAGCGCTGAATTCCAATTGGTTTCTTGTTATTGTTGAAATTTCAGTATTCTATATGGGTTCTTGAACTTTCTCGGCAAACAAACAGAATGCAAAGAATAATCCAAGTAGATGAGAAATGGGTAAGAAAAACGTACTCGCAGGTGTGGATTCAGGATGATATAGATGCCCTTTCACCCTCCTTCTCTATCTTCAGTTTGCGAGCATGACTTTTCTTCTTCTGTTGTCTGGCGTGAAAGAAATCAGAGGGGGAGGGTTGGATTGTAGATAGTATTTTTGGTATTTATATTGCCCACCTTCAAACCCATCAAAATCCCTCATTCCTTAAAATCCTAATAAATCTTTATTATTCTCACTACATCTAGATTTGGATGGACTTTTTTAAAACGTAATTGACTACATATGGATTTGAATGTATTCTTTAAAATCCTGCTAAATCCTAACTTGACTACGACCTGGTTTGGTACTGAGGTGATTCTGAAAAAAGCTGCTATCAAAAAAAGCTGGGAGCTGTTTTTGTGTTTGGTAAACACTCAGCTTCAGCTTTTTTTCATAGTTTTGGATGAAAAAAAGCCAAAAACAAGAAGCTGCAAAACCTAGCTTTGAAAAACCGGCTTTTTTCACATCTGTTTTACATAAAAGTTTACCAAACACTCTAATACTGCTTTTTTTTTTTCAAAAGCACTTTTACAAAAAAGTTTACCAAACACTCTGCTGCTTTATTTCACAGCTGCTTATTCTCACATCACAGCAGAATCAGCTTTTTTTCAAAGTACAGCAATACCAAACCAGCCCTACATCCTAATTTCAAAGTCCTTTAAAATCCTTTTTAAAATTTTAATTGACTACACTCAGAATTTAAAGTCTATTAAAATCTCATCAAATCCTAATTTGACTACACCCTCTTAGCTGGTTCTAAACAATTGCTAAAACTGGAGTTGCCGACTAGACCAAGAAAGATGAAATCTTTTGTCGGTGTGATGTATCTCAATGTGATGGAGAGAAAAAAAAAGAGTAGGATGGCATTTACAAACTTTCAATAAACACACTGTTCACCTATGTTTTAAAGAAAAGAAAGAAAAAAAGTCGGTTTTTCAAAGCAGCAAATAGTTGCTTCCAGTTGTCAGCTTTTTCCTTTATTCTTATTTGAATGGTCATAGTTAAGCCACGTCAATATTTTATATTGAGTTTTTCATAGAGACAATAACACCAAAAGCAATGTGTGAGAGGAAAAGAGAGAAGGGGATGAGAATTGGAGGGGAAATAATCTTACTCCAATTTTGAGGTCAACTTTTTTCACCCGTGCTTTAAAAAAAATTAAGCAATACCAAACTAGTACTAAGATCATCTTTAGACCAAACCCAACCCTGGGCTAAATGCTATTTTTTAGGTTTTATTTCCTCTCCCCTCTGTAACATCCCACATTGCCCAAGGGAGTGAATCATGTAAGCCTTATATGTATATTCTCATCTCTACCTAGCACGAGGCCTTTTGGGAGCTCACTGGTTTCGGGTTCCATAGGAACTCCGAAGTTAAGCGAGTACGGGGCGAGAGGATTCCCAGGATGGGTGACCTATTGGGAAGTTTTCGTGTGAGTTCTTAGAAACAAAACCATGAAGGCGTGGTCGGGGCCCAAAGCGAACAACATCGTGCTATGGTGGAGTCAAGCTCGGTATGTGGTGGGGGTCCGGGCCGGGATATGACAATTTGGTATCAGAGCCAATCCCTGGGCGAAAGTGTGCCGACGAGGACGTCGGGCCCCTAAGGAGGGGTGGATTGTAACATCCCACATTGCCCAGGGGAGTGGATCCTGTAAGCCTTATATATATATATATATATATTCCCATCTCTACCTAGCACGAGACCTTTTGGGAGCTCACTGGTTTCAGGTTCCATGGGAACTCCAAAGTTAAGCGAGTACGGGGCGAGAATACATCCAAATTCAAATGTAGTCAGGGAGTGCCCAAGTATTGTCCAAACAAATAAAGAAAAAGCTCCTCAAAAGGAAGATATGACGGCTCACCAGGGTTAGGGTTTGTGGAATTACGACTCCCTAGTTACGAGTGACTAGTGATAGGGGTGGGTTCAGTTTCATTCGATTCGATTTTTTGCCAAAACCGAAACCGAACTGAAGTTTCGGTTTGGTTCGGTTGGGTTCAATTTTATTTTGGTTTTTTTTTGTTTGGTTTTGTTCGGCTCAGTTTCAATATGGTTTTGGTTTTTTTATTTTATAAAACTTGATCTTTTTTTAATATGAAATTTAGAAAAGAGGCTTGCATTGGTATACTAATAATAAGAAAATGGGGAAAATGGGAAATGGGAAAGTAGTTGTATGTATACAAGATCATATAAACCAATCATATTCTATCAACATCCTCAATTGCAAAGAAAAATGATCACCGTATCAATTCAAAAAACAAACAAATAGAGAAGCTCTTCCAATGTCCAAAACCTTCCAAAACTTTCCTCTATAACCAATGAAATATATTCCCTAATTGAACCAAGTATGCTCCTTGAAAAAGCCCTAGGTTAGTTTCAAAATTGGCAACAAAGTTTCACAAAAGAAACATCATGGGCATACATTCATAAAGTGTAAAGGGATTTAGTTCGGTTCGGTTTGGCTTGGTTTTCGAACCTCCAAAACCGAAATCAAACCAATAAGCTTCGGTTTGATTTTTTCTTTTTCGATTCGTTTTTTTTTTTTTTTTGGTTTTTGATTTTTTGAACCCACCCTGAACTAGTGATTCAATATTGTGCTCTTCAGTTTGTACTATTGCTCTGGAGTGGGCAATTGGTTTGGGGTGGCTTTGTGGTTTTGGAATGAACTTGGGGCTTTTCACGTGGCACGGGATTAAGGTTTTGCTTGGCTTGAAATGCACAGAATCAGTAGTGTGGTAGTGGTGTTGTTATGGCAGGGAGAAGGGTCTGGACCTGAATGATTTGGGATCGAGGTTTGAGGCTAATTTAAAGTTCTTAGAGAATGATAGAGGGAGGTTGTGGAAAGAGTGCTGCTGAGCTTCCAGTTCGATTTGGTCGTGAAAGTGTTCACGAAGAAGGAGGTTAACAGTGATGTCTTTATTAACCATTTCACGCTCTCTGGAGAAGAAGAGAAGGGGTATCTATTAGGGAAACGAGGGATGGACGTTTCCTGGTGAGGTTTGTAGGACAAAGAGATATGCAACGTGTTTTGGATATGAATCAACCATGGTTATTTAAAGACGATTAGGTATTGGTTGCCGACAATACAATGCAAGGGAACAACCAATGAGACTCTCTTTCACTTAAAGTGTTCTAGGTACAGACTCATAATGTTTCTCCATCAAGCATGACGGCAATGGTAGCACAATCTATTGGGTGGTTAATGGGGACAGTTATGAAGGTGGATACTATGGTTAGTAAGAATTGTATTAAGAAATTTCTGAGGGTGAAAATTCTCTTTAGAACTACTGATGCGGGGAACTGTTGTGAGTTTTTCTGATGAGGGCACAATATGGGTAGATTTCAAATATGAATTGTTGCCTGAATATTGTTTAATATGTGGACAATTGAGACATGTCACTAGGGTGTGTAAGGAACTTAAGGTGGAGGTGGGGGAAGAGCTGGAGGAGTTTTATCCTTTCAAGGGTTTGGATGTTAAGGTTGATCTTAGAGGAAACATACTTGATCTTGGATTTTGGAAGTCGGGCTCGGGTGGTTCATGTGGGGGCATTTAAATCCGGGAAAGTCGAGGAGTGAATGGTCCAGAGGGAGAGAGTGGTCTAAAAAAGAAGGAAAGTCATCGAGTTCTAGTTGGAGGAAGCACTCGATGAACGAGAGAATAGATGAGCAGGGCAATAGGAAGGGGAATGAGAAGATGTATGATAAGGAATTAAAAGATACCGTTGTGTCACCTAGTAAGCCCTAAATGATATTGCAGGGTATTACTGACCACAATTATAGCCTTACGAATAGAACCTAGAGGCAAAGGAATGAGGATGAGAAGACTCATAGAGTAATGGCTGAGGCTTTTGATGCAGGTTTAATTAGGCCGGATGGAATGGTTACGCTGGAGGTGGAAAATATGGTGCTAAAAACCTATGAAATGGATGAAGCAACTAATAGAGTGAGAACTTCTCTGAATAAGGCGGTTCAAGCCAATGAAAAAGAACATGTTAATTTAGGGTTAGAAAAGGGGCATTTAGTTTCTTTGGTGGATAGGGTAGTGGAACAGAATTGATCGTTAATAGGGACGATGATCTTTTTGATATGGATTCGATTATTGAGGCGGTGACTAGGGAGCATAAAGGGAAAAAAAGATCGATTCAGGAGGTAGAGGTTGAGCCATGAGAGGTGTCTGTGGATGCTAGATGTACTCGTTTGCGGAAAATACCAGTATTTTCAGACACAGAAGAGACTAGCCTTGAGGGGTCTCCCAGGGCGCCACGAAGCTAATATATTGGAAATGTCAAAGGACCGAGGGTGACCTGACAGTGACTATTTGTTGGAGGAAAATAGGCTTCACACCCTACACATAGTGATTCTTCTAGAAATGAAAATTTGGAGTAATATCTATGCCTATTTGAAGAGACTACTCGGGATGGATTTTATGCACGCGGTGGAACCTAGGGATATTGGTGGTAGGATGTGTATTTTCTGGTAGGATTATAATCTTGTGATGCTAGTCAAATATACGGAGTTCTTTATTGAAGTTGGTGTATGAGACAATAATGTGGATACTAATTAGAGATTGTTTGTTGTGTATGCTAGCACGGACGATAAGAAACGAAATGAATAATGGAGGATTTTATTGAATCGTATTGAGGTGGCTGGTGATAAAAGTCTTGTTATTGGAGATTTTAATGATATTGTACATGACTTAGAGAATGAATGTGAGGATTACCGATCGGTTGTGAGCACAAGGGATTTCAATGAATTTATAATGAATTGTGGCCTGCTTGATTTAGGTTATGTAGGTTACCTTTACACGTGGAGGAATCTATGGGATGAATGACCAATACAACAATGACTGGATCAAGGTCTTGCTACGTAAGGTGGATTAAGGTGTAGCCGGAGGGATTGAATCACATTATGCTTAATTTGAATACGGATCCAACACCACAACAGAAGAGGCATTTTATGTATGATCTGATATAGGGAAAGGAGGAGGAGTGTTGAAGAATTTTGGAGTCAAATTAGAGAAGGGGTTTTGTTGGATCTTGGGCATTTTAGGTAGTGGAAAAGTTAAAATGGGTGCCGAAAGGTTTAAAGCAATGGCGGCAGCTTCATGGCTAGAACTCAAAGAGGAAA